CACACACACACACACACACACACCCCACGCCCAGCTCCCCGTGGCACAGCTGCAGGACACACACACACACACACACACACACACACACCACGCCCAGCTCCCCGTGGCACAGCTGCAGGGCGCACACACACACATACACACCCCACGCCCAGCTCCCCTGTGGCACAGCTGCAGGGCACACACACACACACACACACACACCCTATACTTGCCGCCAGAGGGCGACTGAGCACAGCAGAGCCCAGCCCAGCCGCTTGTGTGCTCTTGTGTCACCAGGAGCCGGCTGCGCTGCGGTTGTTGTGTACAGTTTAAAGATCTCCAGGGGACCCGGCGAGATCCTGCAGGCAGCGAAAGCAGCAAGGCAGAGCTGGGCCGGCCCTCCTGAGCCCAGCCCAGCCAGCTGGAGAGAGAGGCCGAGCTCCCCGAAGGGAGCAGGAATGCTGCACCCCAGCCCTTCGGGGTGCTGTAGCCTCCAGGGGGGCGGAGAGGACAAAAGGCCCTGAGCCCGTGGATGGGAAAGGGGCAGGCAGGGCTGGCGTCCGTCCGTCCCCCCCCTCCTTTGTCTCTGGGAGGATTAGCCTAAGTCTCAGGTTATTTAGGAAACAGCTGATGTAAGTGACAGGGCTGTGGAGGGGGAAGTGGCGAGTGCGGGGCCGGAGAGCCATGCCTGTGCCAGCTGCTGGCCCGCCCCTCTAGCCCCTCTGTGCACCTGCCAGGATCATGAAGGAGGTGAAGGAGTCCAGAGACCAGCAACTCACGGTAAGTTCTTCTTTTCTGTCACTTGATTAGCACTCTGGGCGGGGGGGAGGAGGGCTGGCAGGGACTGGCTGCCCACTGTGCCCAGTGATGCCCGGCGGGCACACCAAGGGAACCCGGGGAGAGTGGGGAATTCCCCTCCGCGCTGCCTACCTAGTACATGCTGGTTAATAATCCTGTCCGGCAGGGTGAAAAGGGCTGGGTGGCTGGTCAGAACGGGAGCCAAAGCTGGAGTTTGGATGTTGGCCTCAGCGGCTGGGGGTGGGAAGGTGGGCGCTAGTCACTTGTCTTCCCTTGCCCCCTGCTCAGTCCGGAAATGCCCCTGTAAGTGTCTCTAGCTGCATTTGTATGTAATGACCGGGCTGCAGCCGGGCCTCTGTCCCCACGCTCGTTCCTGGCTGGGCAGGTTCTCTGGGAACTGTAGTAATCGTGCCTTTGTTGATTGAAACGCTACCGCTGCTGTACACAGTGAGCTGGGGAAAGGGTGTGTGCACACCTGGGTAACATACAGGTGTATAGAGCAGTACGTCGATTGACACACGTGTGTGTGTGTGTGTGTAACCCTCTGGAGCTCTTACACACCTGGAATAAAGCCGCCCAGTGTGATCAGAGATGCTCGGTGCTACAGACCTCCACTGTGTAACTGTGGTGTTGTTGTGCACGTATATGCAAAATAATGTGTGTATGTGGCTAATCTAGTTGGTGTGTGCACGAGTGTGTGTGTGTGTGTACTATACTAATATATATTTGTTTGTGAGTGTTTTAAAGTACTTGCTATAGCCTCCTAGGACTGGATTTTGCAGTCTTTGTCCTCCTACAGTTTGCCGTCATGAATTTCAGCAGCATTACACACACACAAACCAAAGGATGATGCCAGTATTTTGAAAGGAACTGTTTACTGGAGAGCAGTAAAACTGTCTTCTAAAAAATCCCAGCGCCTCTCCAGATTTCCTGTTTTTCAGAACAGAAGGAGAAAGATACTGCAGCGCAAAGCATGTAAGAGGAACAATAAGAGCCCAATCCTGGATGACACAGAGTGTCCTCAACTTCCTTTGGGGGCGCTTGTGGGATCTGAGGCCAAGCAGTGCACGTTGTAAAGTGTGCACTGGATGCTGTATCGTGTATGTGTGTGCGAGCAGCAAACGCTGGGTGTGCAGTGTGTAGGTGCGCATGCCCCGGAGTGTAATCTCCCATAGTGCATAATGATATGGCTGGACTTTTATCTCCGTGCTCTTATGACCAGCCCTTCTCCGCCTCCCCAGCCCCGTCTTGGTTTATATGTTGTGGGGAGAGGCAGCCTCCGTTGTACGGTTGCGTTGGAGTGTCTCTGTGTAAGCGTGTCAGTGTCAATAACCCACGGGTCCGTTTGCACTGCGGAGTTGTGGTGCTGCCCCCATAGCCGGGCTCAGGGGACGCTCCCCACACAATTCCCACATGTGCTGATGTGCGTTAGTGGCTGGAAAGATGCTATTTCTTGATCTGTTCATGCAAGAGATTCTGGTCAGCGCCGCGGCCCACCGATCGTGCTCACACACTGATGCTTCATTAACATAGATGATGTTTAAGTGCCCAACTCAGCTTGGCCTTCGCTAGGAAGCCAGGCCTGGTGTGGGGGTAACACACAGGTCCGGGGGTGCAGTATTTGCTACAAATGAGTCCAAAGACCTCCGCTTTTGGCTCTAGCTACTCACCAAGCCTCCGCCGCGTGTTGGGTTCTGCCAGTTTTACAGCGGGGAGCCTATCGGGTGGTTTGGGATAAGAGATAAGTAGACGTTAGGGACGGAGACTAACTCAGCCAAAGTGCAGAGGAGTCTGGGAAATTGGAGTTGCTCGTGCAAGAGAGTTGAAGGTAAGTTGGAAGCAGAGCATTCTGGGAAGGTACAAGTTAGCAAGGCCGGGCCCCAGGGTTGGGTTCCTGGGTTGTGAGTTGTTCACACGAGGTTTCTAAGGAGTGTTGTTGAGAATCAGGAATGTTTTATTGAAATGCTTCGGTGCTGGCAGTGTGGGAAGGACGCTGGTGCAGCTGTTCACCTAAATAAAGTGCAGTGGTGGAGACAGAATGAGGGTAAAGGATTCATATGCATTAGTAGTATCATGGAGTAGAAAAGGAGCAGTTTTGCTAAATTGCAAGTGAGCGCCAATTAACATCCAAAGGATCCGGTGAGGCTCTGGGATTATAAGACTGTACTTCACGCTGTTGTCAGGGGACTGACCCCCTTGATAGGCTATTTCATTGCTGAGTGGGCGTGTAACTGTAGCATTATGTATGTGGAAATCGATACCTGTTTGCTTTACGGATAATTTTTTTAAATAAAGTTTGGTTGGCTCATTCCTAGTGGTTCTCTACGACCTAAATGTTCTGTGACCGCCCTAGGGGCTCAAACTTGAAAGCTAAGTTGGGTTTTATTGCATCTTTATCTTTAACAACTTAATGTTAATTGGGACTGTTTCAACATGAAGGATACAAAAGGTTACAAATCCGGGTGTGTTGCCACTGGGTGATGAAGATCTTGGCGCTGTGTCCTGGCATACAGACAGCACCTGGCACATTGCGGGCACTTCCAGGGCTCAGACACCCACTAGTACTTGAATTGACCCCCTCCCAAATATAGGGCTTCTCCCCTCCTCAGTGCCCAGGCCTTACCCCCATTAGCACCAGTGATGAGTGGGGCCCCAGAACTGAGCCCACTTGGCTTTGGACTTTCTGGGTGGGACTCGGCCTCTTCCCAAGCTCCTGGTCCCTTTGTAGGGAACGTGACCATTAGAGAGAGACCCCCCCAGACATGCAGGGGACCTGCTCAGCTGTGAAACACACACGGGGTGAATGAGGCGAAGGAGGGAACCGATGCCACAGTGTCTGGGGAGCTGGTCGGGACACGGCTGCCCCGTCTGGTTTGCACGGCTGCACCAGGAATCACTAGCCATCAGCACCTTAGCTCTCACAGACCAAACCTTTTTGCACCTTGGGCTGATGGATCAAACAGCTAGCGGGGAGCTTCGCTAATTGATGGATTTGATACGCTTTTTGCAGCCCAACCTTCCAGCGGCTGGCCAGGCAGAGAAGAGCTCAGGGTTAGAGGGAGGGAAAAGCCCCTCTGTGGACAGACTGGCTGAAGCTGTCCCTTTAAACTCGCGACAGGGCTGGTGTGTGCAGCCGGAGCCGCTGATCTGCTCCCAGCGGTGTTTTCTTTCTTCCAGGAAAAAGCTGCAATTGCTGCATGCGTGGCCATCGGGGAGGGCGCGCCAGGGCCTCTGCGCTGCCTCGCTAGAGAGGCGATGCCTCAGGTGAGGCGTGGGGTGGGGAATGGACATCGCAGCAAAGTCGCTGCGCCAGGTGGGCGGCTCGCACTCAGCCGGCTTCCTAAGGGCTAGGAACTTTCGGAGACTCTCCGTGCCAGGCGGCACCATGGCTCACGTGCAGGTGCCGATTCCCCGTCTCTTCTGCCGTCCCTCCACCGGCTCCGTTCACCGCCTGCATCTCTCACCCTCTCTTCACTCTCTTCCAGGTGGCCCTTCGGATCCGGCCGATCAGCATGGTGGAGCTGGAGGAAGGAGCTACTCTCATAGCTCATAAAGTGGATGAACAGGTAGGGCAGGTGGGCAAGCGGGGGGGCTTGCTGGCACTGTGTGTCGGGGACATCGCCCTGGCAGATCCAAGTTCAAATCCTACCTCAGGTCAGAGGAAGTGACTGTGATTTTGGTGCATTTCGTCAAAGCCCCCGGTGTCCAGTCTAAAGAGAAACGAACCTGAAAGATGGTGTGGCTGGGGGCCGGCGGGTCAGGATTGAGGGGCATTGGCAGAGCTGGGCTAGCAAGGAGGGGCCTGCAAGCTAAGAATGAGGTGCATTGGCAGAGCCGCGTACGGGGGAAGCTCGCGCTGCCCTTTCCCGCATTAGGTGTGAATGGAGGATACTTGGCAGTGTCTCTCTTGCTAAGGGTTGTGATGGGAGATGGGGAGCTCTTTCTCTCGATGCCCTTTAAAAAGCAGAGAGCAAGGTGTTTTCATGCCATGCCACTCGGTTTCCTGTGTTGCTAGTTTTGCATTGAATCACCCGCTTTCCAAGGTGCTAGAGAAGCCCAGGTAGAATTGTACCCCCTTGGCCCATGTGCCCACGAAGAGCGCTCCTGCTGGGCATCTGAATACGGCTGGGCTGCCCAGCACTCCAGCAGCCCCCCACCCCACAGGGGCCACTGGCTTTAATTAGGGGTCATTCTGGCTTTCCTTTCAAATCCAAACCAGCCAGTAAAACCCCCTCCCAAGAAGAAGCGTTTTTAAATGCACCCTGGGGACCCTCCCCCCGGACATGGCAAATTGCCTTGGAGCACTACAATTCCTGCTCCCGGTTGTCAGCTGCAGCCTGTCTCAATTCCTGCGCGTGCTCTCCGCAGCTCGCCGAGCAGGGGCGCGGGTGGCAGGGCGGCAGCGTGGATGAGGCACTGGGCTGGGATTCTGGAGATGGGGGCCCGATTCCCCATCTGTGAAAGTGAGGCTGTTATCTTTCCTTGAGCGCACCATTGTCTGGTTAGTGCGTGAGCTCTTGGGGGCCTGGCCTGTCTCTCACAGTGTGTTCGTGCCACGCCCAGCACCGCAGGTTGTTGGGGGGGGGGGGGTGTATTTCACGCCGCGTGGGAATGCAGGATGCAAACGATAAAGGAAAATGTTCCGTGATGGGTTCAGTGAGGAGTCGATCGCTCACCCTGATCAGTCACAATTCAGATCAGCCGCCCACCCCCAGAAGCTACCGGGCGCTGGCATAGCCAAAACTAAACGCTGAAAGGGGGGGAAACAGAACCCGGCCCCAGAATCAATCCCTACCTTCAATGGGTGAGGGGAGTGGCGGGGAGCCGGATGAGAAAAGGTTAACCGCTGCGTCTTCCTTTCCCACTTCTTGAGCCTTGCGTGACCTTAGGCGATAGCTCTGGGTAGCCCACCCGTTGCTATAGGAGACCAGGTAATCTCTGGTTTGTTGTTGTAGGGTTCATCAGAAACACCAGGTTGCCCCTGCTGGTCTGTTGTTGTAGGTGGCGCGTGAGCCCCAGACCTGCCTGCGCTGGTTTGTTAATGGAGGGTTGCTCATGGCACTGAAGCTGCTCTTTAGTGTGAAAAGCAACAGAGGGTCCTGTGGCACCTTTAAGACTAACAGAAGTATTGGAGCATAATGCCCACTTCGTCAGACTTGCGTCCACAGGACCCTCTGTTGCTTTTGACAGATTCAGACTAACACAGCTACCCCTCTGATCTTTCGTGTAAGAAACCCTTGGAACAAACTCCCCGAATCTGGCCCTTGGCTGAGGGTCTGGGCCTATCAACCTTTCCCATGTCCCCTGGCGCTGTCTGACCCTTCGGCTTCCCCTCGCCCCGTTCCGTTATCGATCCAGCTCTAAGCACTGGGGCCGGGTTACCGCTCGCCAGCCCCAGTGCGGCCTCACATCAGGAGGAAATTAAGCTGCGTTTATTAGCAGGATATTTTTCCTCCCCTCGAGCAATTACGGGAAGAGCAGGCGGCCGTGAGCGCCGCGCTGTCTCTGCCATCTGTGTTTACCTGGGCTGAGCGCGGCATTAGGGGACTCTCCAGGCAGATGGTAACGGGCTGGGCTGGAAGCAGAGCTGCTTCTGGGCGGCGGGGCCCAGGGCTGACCAGGTGGGGAGCTGGGCAGACCAGGCCCCCTTCGAGGTGCCGCCGGATTGCGGGGAGGGGGGGCTGTCTGTCAGAGCCAGGAGGGGACAACGGACATTCTGTTTCACAAAGGCTTTGGGGATTTCGACGTCTGCCTTCGCTCTGTAACGGAGCAAAACCCCCCCAAAGCCTCGGTGAAGGGAAATTCCTCTGGGGGCAATTGAAACGTTTGGGTTTGTCAAAATAGCCGCGTTTTGTTTGGCTTTTGGCTTTGTTTCAAAAGCGCACCGTTGGATTCCCTTCTGTAACCCGTTTCTGAAGGAAAAGGTCTTTGCAGCGTGAAATGCTTTGTTCCAAAAAGGCTGCAATGGGACATTTCAGAACTCCCGAGGGAGGGCCTGGCTGATGCCCAGACCATGGGGACAGGGAAGGGGCGGTTACACAGCTTGCGGGGTAGGTTGGCAGGCTCCAGACCAGCAGGTTTTAGAGGTAATGCCCCACGGAGACGCAGGGGCCGTCCCCACTCTAAGCGACTGCCTCAGGCTCCCTGCAGACGTCATGTTTTCACAAGGGCTAGACACTTCCTGTGGCCCTGCTGTAATCACGAGGCGCTGGCAGCCGGCGCCCTCGGCCTAACCCAGGCCCTGAGTGTCAGATAAGAATCGGGCAGATGGCGGGTGCCTTGGGGCTGTGCTGGGAGGAACGTGTTCCCTGTCACGTTCTCATGCCATCCCCAGGCCCATCTTTCCCTCTAGGATTCCTGCCTTTCTTTTCCCCTTCCTTCGTTCCCTTCTTCGCAGCAACGGGAGGTAGGCACGTCCCCAAGGCCTCTCCTCCCCCAGCTCCCAGGGCATGGCAGGATGGCTCCCTATTGCACAAGCACTCCGGCTCTCACGTGTGGTCTCCTCTGTTCACACACGCACGGCGCACCAGGCAGGACAAGGGTGGGGTCTGTCCTAGACAGCCCCAGAGCTGGAGGACTGGCGAGTTGTCCAGGGCTGGACCAGCAGGGGCTGCTGCAAGTGAGAACAGCGGTGACCTGACATGTTAGGGCCCTACGTCCCGGGGTGTTGTGGGGGGAGCCCAGGCCTGGGATAGGAGGGGGCTGCGGCGGGTCTGGGATCGAGGTGCCAGCACAACCGAGTTCACTAGCCAGGAGGAAAAAGTGCCCCCCACTGACCTCCAAGGAGTGCCCGCCCCTGCTTCGCCGGGATGCCAAATCCACAGCCTCCCCTTCTGGGCCTCTTTGGCTGATTTTCTTCCCCTGGTAAAACCGAGAACAAAGTCCAGGCCAGGGGAAGCAGCCATCCTATGCCCGTGGCTCTGCCCGCGCCGTGCGGGGGATCAGGGTGGGGGGTGTTGGCCACTCCCGTGGGGGGGGGGAGGGGCTGGGAGGTCAGACGCAAGCTGCTTCTCTGGGTTGCCTTGGCTAGCATGTGCACCCTCCCCCGGGTGCACAGGGGCCGGCGTGGGCCCCGCTCCGGCCAGGGGACAATGCTATCTCAGACGTGCACTGGCATGGTTTAGCGGAGCACCTAGTCGCCGTGGCAACGACTGTGCGCAGGCCGGGGGACGGGGGGGTCAACGCTGGCTCCAAGCAATGGAACTTCTGGAGACAAACCCAGCTGCCACGTCAGGATCGGGGGCAGGGGGGGGAACAGGGATGCCAAGGCCTGGGGGCCTGGACAGGATCTCTCCTGATCCCAGCACCTGGGCATGGGGGCTACGGGGGCTTCCTTGCAGCCTGTCTGATCCTGCCCCCGCCGTCCCCGTGGTGTCAGGGATCTGTCCTGCCCAGCTCTGCCCTTGCTAGTTCCTGCTTGAGCCCATTCTGTTGGGGAGCCAGCGTGCGGGGCCCTGTCGCTGCCCTGTGCTGGAGGGCAGGGGGCGGGTAGCAGGACTTCTTTCTCCTCTTTGTATTTATAATACAAACGTGGATTTTAATAACAAAAACCAGTGCCCGCCGCCCTGGGAGACCCTACAATAACAAACCAGCGGGTGTAGCCCTGCCCTTAGGGGAGACCCTACAATAACAAACCAGTGTGCGTGGCCCTACCTTTATGGGAGACCCTACAATAACAAACCAGTGTGTGTAGCT